CGCACGCTGCAGCTGTCTGAGTGGCTTGTTACCATCCGGAGAAGGTCTGCTACGGGCAGGGGGAGGGAAACGGGTGAGGAAAAAGGGAGGAGGATGCAACTAACATGCCTCCTCTCTCTCGCCCTCTCTCTCGCCTCCCTTTCTCACCCATCCGCTCTCTCGCTCCGTTAGTCTTCCTGTCTGCAGTATGTCACACAGTGTTGCTCTCTCGCTTCACTCATCTTCCTGTCTACTCGGCCATTTATCTCTCCTGCCCTTCCCTCCCCCCTCGCTGTCTCTCTCTCTCAGTCCTTATTACTCTTTCTTCCATTCTACCTTTCCCTCCCACTGCCTCCATCTCGCCCTAATCTTCCCTCCATCACTATGTCATTTCTCTTTCTCGGTCAGATGCTCAAGTTTGTGTCAGGAGGAGAGAGTAGTTAGGCCCACATTAAAAGCGACATGACACCTGACCGCTTAAGGACACATCAGGTACTATCCTACTCTAATTGCCAAAATAAATAAATAAAAGACAGGACTCTGACAGCGAGTTGTTGCGATTAACAAGTATTTTTTCCTCTCTGCCAAAGAACTATTAAGCTACATCACTGAGCCATGTAGTTATACATGAGCTCTGCAGTTTAACCTGAGTGCACTTCCCTGCTACTCCAAAGTACTCAGTTTGTAACTAAATGCGTATTAATCCACAGCTCACAATAGTTCCCAACAAATGCATGTCTGCTTTTGATCAAAGCCCCAGAACCCAGTAATTTGAGGAAAATCACATTACCTCTTTTTTGTAAGTTTAGATAGATATTATACTTAAATGATTTAACTTGGAACAAATTGGCTTTGTGGCTGAGTGCCACCGACATGGATGGTTGTGGTCTTTTCCTGGCATTTGATATCTTGTAAACTTGTGGTCCCTAACCAGGGTGCTATTTCAATGCTGAAAAGGTGCCAAAAACTCCAGTTCCTTGTATGACCACTTGAGGCTGGTTCCTGAATCAGGTCTGATCCCACAGACTTGCATGTTCAGCCTTTCGGCACAAATAAGTTTGCAGCCTGGCACATAAAATATTATTAGTGGCAGGTCTGCTTTGATGTAGATGCAAACATAGGCCGCTACAGTTAATGGAGGTCTGCTACACTTCACCTCAGCTAATCTAAGTCACTGAAATGGACTTCTCAAGTGTGGGTGTTGCCGCCTTTTGGAGCACTTTAAGGCAAATGCAATTATAAGACAAATTAATTGTACTAACAGGATGTCCAAGAAATCTGTGCTCGGGTTTGACATGTGAAGTTCTGTCACTGTATTTATAAGTTACTTACCACTAATTAGCAGTTAGCTGTTTTTATGCAGCTTATTAGTTCATAACTTAAGACTTGCAAGTTGGAAGCTTAGGAGCTTAGGAGCTTATATGCAAATTAACCATTTGCTTCCACACTAAGTCACCCAGCTCTGGTTGCTACTGTAGAATTTAGTTACCCAAATTTATCTTTATTTCCATATTCATAATTTTTTGCAGTTATTTTCTCGTAAAATACTGGTAAAATCTTTCTTGTTCACCTTAGAAATAAAATAAACACCTACTCACCAATCAGCTACACTGCTAAACCAATTATAATATGGTGCTGCAAAAGCAGCTCTGCCCATCAGAATATGTGGAGTTTTCCTGTGATGTCTGACACCTGGCAGCAACTTTGGGTGCTGGGTTGGTCTTGTTCTGGTGCATCCCAAAGATGCTCATTTGGATCGAGATCTGGGCCGGTTTGACGGTCGGATCAAAACATAGGGGGTCTTTATTGTGTTCTTTATTGTGAGGGCAAGGTCTCTGAGTAGAACACTGCATCGTAACAAGACAATCAATGTTGTTCACTTCACCTGTCAGTGCTTTTAATGGTTGTGGCTGAGCAGTGTATAAATTGTGCTTATTCAGGGATTTTAGCCATTAGAAAGGTCATGACCCCCACTGACATCCTAAGACTGAATACAACACATTCTGCACATACGCACATTCCTGAGATGTCTAATTATAAACAAGAGCGTGCCGTTTCCCTCCAGAATGACATCACAGAGTTTTTGTTAAATCTGGTTCTCTCTTTACATGCAACACAAGTCTGCGTAGATTGCCTCCCCCACATATTCCTACTTGCCTTTTTTAAGACACTTGCTCTTTGTCCCCCCTCCCTCTCTTCCTCACCCTCTGTCTCATTAGGCAGCATCTCATTTTGAGGAGGAGAGCGTTAAGCCAATCAGAGAGGGGAAGAAAGAGCAGAGGAAGGAGGGAGAAGGAGAGAGGGAAAGACGGCGAGGTTGCAGAAGGAAGAGGGCAGAGATGGAGTGAGTGAGAGAGGTGGTGAGAGAGAATGAGAGAGAGAGACACGAAGGAAAAGAGAGGGAGATGGATGGAGGGAGAGAGGGAAAGAGGGAGGGTGAAAGAATAAATAGCTCTGGCGCACTCGTCCCCCATTACCCCGGGAGGGCACTGTCGCCATGGCAATGTGGCAGAAAAAGGATAGCACAAGCATGATGAGCTTCTACACACGCAATTTTATAAATGAAAACTGTGATTCACACATGTATCTGCCCACATTAACAGTTTCATGGAGACATATTTGACAAGTTCATACTTTCAAATGGGTGTGGGCAGAAAGCACGCCGTCTTAAACTCTACAACAATCATTTATACACAGGCATGCACACGCATTAACAATTTGCCAGTTTGCAGATAGTCAAAGCCTGCATAACAGAGAAATAACCGAGACAAAGGAAGCCGTGGAGGGAGATTACAGCATAAAAGACAGGCAGTCAACACAAAACAAGAAGGTGAAGAAAAGGCACCGGAGAAGAAAATAATAAAGGAGAACAAGAAAGCAGTTTTTTAAATACCTAATCAAGTATTACCGTTGCCTGCTGTGTTGCCTTACAATAGACTTTATTGGATTATGATGCGCATTTCCTTTAACTTGTTTTTTTCTTCTTACCCCCTTTTTTCTCACTAATCTATAAAACACTTCAGTAAACCCAGCATTAACTGATTATTTTGGCTCCACTTGGGGAAAGACAAATACAATATTGACAAATTATCACTTCAATAACTTGTTATAGCTAATGCATCAGCAAACAGTTGCAAATTTATGCACCCAGAAGATGCAAAGCAGCACTAATGCTCATTTGAAATGTTTTTTTGTTTGTGTGTTTGTTTGTTTGTTTGTTTGTTTTTGTCCACCTGATGAATGCTAGCTTAATATTTACTCCTTTTTTGCTCCTCCGTGATGCCCGACAGCTCTTGAGGGAAGTTTCTCTAGGCGGTCAACATTTTGCTGACTCTGTGTGTGGTGCACAGCAGGTAGCATACAGCAGGTATATCAGGAATTCCCAAGCTGACACCAGAACAGGAACAAAACTGATGAAGTTGCCAGAAATGCTCCTGTGATGGTGATTTTCACAGCCCCACGACTGAAATAACAGGTTGTTAATCTTCATCCCCTCATAAATCCAACATACAGATTTATGGTTTCATACTCTCCCACATCAGCACTATACTTAGGTTTATTTCTGTTTCACTCTCTGGATTTACATAAAAACTTTAGGTTTGTTTAGTGAAGTTCTAAATAATTCTATGCACAATTGGTTTAGACTTGTACTGCTCTGCTTGTATATGTGTTGAGTTCTTCCTCAATAAGTCAGCTTATTAACTGACCTACTTAACAGGCCCACTTGTACTTGTGCACTCAAAGGCCTTCATACAGCAAGTCTCATTCACCCATTTGTGCAAGCGCTTTTTTTCTATAGAAGTGCTTTTTATCTAGCATTCACACATATTCACACTCTGATGAAAGCAGTATCTTGCCCAAGGATATTTCGGCACGCAGACTGGAGCAGCCAGGAATCGAGCTTAGTTCCTATTAGAAGATAACCTGGACTACCTCCTCAGCTACAGCCACCCCTAAACAAAAAACTAAAATTGCCCATTCTTTTTCAAATATAGATTAAAGAGTGTGTTACAGCAACAGTTTCTTATTTGTGTCGACAGTGTCGCATTACTTAAAAAGTATTAAAAATGTTATTGGAATAAGTTTAACAGTAGCTGAAGTCAGTATGCTGCTAACATACTCGTGTAAAGCTGATGCAATGTTTGCCATCTTAGAAAATGCTCTAGTAGATTTTGACTTGTTCTGCTTTACCTCACAGGATATAGCCCATCAAACATTAATATACCAAGTCCTACTGAACCTCTGTCATGTCTCTGCGACCCTCTGTGACCTGGATTAAACACGCCACACGCTTAGGTGCTGCCAGGTTTGACTATAATCAGTATGTGCGCAGCAGCAAAGACAAAAGTTCATTTCCCAGGTCATTAGTCATGCCTGTTAGAAACAAGCCTGTTGCAATACTTTAATAATGTAGGAACCAGCAAATTAGCAGCTACAGAAGCACTGCTGAAAAATTTTGCTCTAGAGAGTAAAACAAATCACCTAAAGTCAGTAGACTGAAGTTAAAAATGGCTTTAGTGCCACTCTCATGCCTTTGTAGCTGCATAGTTATCTGTTAAAGTTGTTTGGAAGGCAAATGTGGTGGTTAATTAGCTCAAGAAATCTTGTGTGCATCCAGCCTGAGGGCAAAGCAGAGAATGAAAGAGGCTGTTCTGAGCGAGCCAGCCGTCTGTAAACTCTTATGTAAGGCAGAAACTGCATCCTGTTTCTCTCAGCTACATTATTGATGTAGGTTTCTGTTACCATGCCGAGTGTGTTTGTATGCATACGTGCACGGAAACATGTGCACCTGTAAGTCACTATCTCTCGGATACCTCTGGATAGTCTCACCTCTGCTGATCTGCAGAAAGGGTGGTCTCCCCCAGCTGAGGTCTTGTCACTCTCCCTCCTCCCCTTTCCACCTCTCCGCATGCTCTCCTGTTCTTTCTTCACCTCCTTTCGTCTTCTGTATTAATGTAAGTCCCCTTGCACCACCTCCCCCTCCTTCTCTTTCTCTCTCAGGCCTTCATTTCTCACTAACAGATGTTCTCTGAACCATGTGGGAGGGCATTCCTCCACTCTGCTTTGAAAGCAAAGAAAAAAGAAGACTTACTTGAAGCAAAGAAAAAAAAAATCAAACGAGGACGAAAGCAACAGAGCTCCCCAACTCAGCAGTCTCCAAAGTAATGCCTGTGTGTCCTGCTTTTCCCCCATAGAGAAGGTGTCAAGTTAAAGATCAGAGTGCTTTTGCCTTTTTATAACACACTGCTCCCAGTGTTACACAATATTTGAAAGGTCACATAAGAGACACGTAAAACATTGCATGACCGAGCAGCCAAGACGACTGGAAGTCATATAGACAAACACACACACACAGAGAAATGCAGCAAGTGTGAGTTAGAGTGATAAAGGAAAGCTTATACCCGACTCCTTAGACCTCACAGGTTCTTTAAAAATTCAAACATGCCAAAAGAGCACCGTGGGAGTCTTCCTGCAGGTCAAGAGTGAGGAAAAGATGAGAAGTACAGGACAGATGAGGCATGAAAGAAAAGCAGGAGAGCTTTTCTTCCCACCAAGAATGAAAGTGAAGGCTGGCACTTAAAAGAACTTAGTGAGTGAATTTTATATTTTCCTTATTTTTAAGGAATAAATTTAAAAAAGGATAAAAAAAAAATGAAGAAGAAAAAGGATAAAAGTGGGGGCATGTGGTGTGTGGAGAGTGGGTTAAATGTGGGTGTTCGTGATTGTGGGGACATATACTGGCAGGGTGGCTGTGCGCTGGATGCGGCAGTAAGGTGACCCACTTACACAGAACTGCCTCTCCTGACACACACACACAAACACTTGCCTCTGCACACTCCTGAACACACTCACACTGGAGACTGGAGGATGCTTTGGCCCCATTTCAGGCAGTAATGTGTTTCAAGAGTTGTGGAAGATGAGGTGGGAGGTCGTCGGTGTGTGGCAGCTGAAGAGACCTGAAGCAACAGAACAGAAGAAGACAGGGGATTAAACTATATAACGCAACAAAAAGAGTGGGAAACAGGCGACAAGCTGAGCAGACTGCAAGGTAGACATGACGTACAGTATAGGTACATATCAGGCAGACTTGTAAATGAGCAGGGTATGTGTGGTACCCTGTTAAAAGTGTATATCAGAGAGTACATTTTTCCTCCCTGCTAATCTGGTGCAGCCATTGACTCCACCATGACATTCAGCAGAAAGGTCAGCTCCTTCCTGGTATGCACAAGATAACAGGACAGACACATCCACAGTCCTCCACAGGAGAAAAAAAAGACAAGATAATACGAGATAGCACAAACAGAGAGGTGAACAACCTTGACATTTATTATGCAAATGCCTATGGCAATTTAAATAGCTTTAACTGTAGGTGGCTGGTATGGAGTTGAGAATGAACTGATTCACAACTTCTGATATCCAATAGAAAACAAAAGAATGAGTGGAACGTAATGGCAGGTGTACAATATCACCATCTAGTGGGGAAAATACATTGCAGCAGTGGAATATTTCCACCTCCATGACCCAAAAATAGGAACATGAGATATTTCTCCCTGAAATATATTTAAATAGCCAGGACCTAAATTATGTCAGTCATATAAAAGTGTAAAATTAATGCTATGAAATTAATCTGTCTGACTTTCATTATGCTGAGTATTCAATTCAGCTGATTTCAGTTTAATTCTGTTTTATTGATTTAGCATCAGATCACCAACTAAAGTAATCTCAAGGTGCTTTTTATTGCAAGTAAAGCTCCTCTTATATCAGAGGGGCAATCAGGTGATCCCCTATGAGCAAGCAGGAACAGACCTCCAGCAGAACTAAGCTCAGGGAGGAGCATCTACATGCAACTTGTGGTTGTTGTTGTTGATTGACAAGAATAAGAGGTGAGAAAAAACAAGAGCACAGAGAGACCACAAACAATAAACACATTGGGGAGTGAAAAGTACATTATGGGAAATCCTCCAGCAGTCTGAGTCTATAGCAGCATAGTTATTAAAAATGGTTTACAGTCACCAGATTGAGCCCTAAATATAAGCTTTATTAAAAGAAAAAGACAGCTGAAGCCCCATTTTGAAAGTAGTGAGGGTGTCTGTTTCCTGCAGCCAAACTGGGAGCCGGTTCCACGAACAGGAGTCTGATAGCTGAAACCTGCCTCCCACTCTATTTTTGGAAATTCTGGAAAATACAAGCAAGCCTGCAGTCTGGGAGAGAGGTGCTCTATTGGGATAATATGTTAGAAGAATTAGCACCACACTCTCAAGGAAATACAGCATGACAACTTGTGCACAATTTTTAAAAAAGGATCTGATGTGTGCACAACAACTTTGACCTTCAGCTGCATATCTCTCCTCTGGCTTGTACAGAAATGAATAATTAGGCAGTTTATCTTAAAACCACTGGTCTCCTTTACGTAAAATATCCAGTCAGTTATGAAAAGCTCATAGTGTGCTTCGTCGCATAGGTTTTATGAGTTAGTTCAGCACTTGGGTGGGTGGCCGGTTAGCTTCTTCTCACCTGGTGGAGATCTAACATTTACATTTACAAAAGACCTTTGTGTTAAATCCTGCACTTAGTGCTAACCAGGTGAATAAAGTGAATAAAAAAGTGAATAAAGATCTCTATTTTTAAAGCTTAATATTTATTAGGTAATAAGAGTCCAGGTCTCTTTATTTCATTTCCTCTTCCCAGCTTATTCACATGCAATGAGGCAAATGGCTGGCAGAGTCAGACAGATCAGGGAGTTCCTTAATAAACTAAAAATATAATATAATATAGCCACACCTGATCAGAGTCTGAAGCTTCGTGTATTTGCCATCACATGCAGGTGAAGACTCACACAAAATGGGGAGACATTATAACTACTGACGGCCACCCTCATCTGGTTATGGTGCAGACAGAGGCAACAAACAGACAAAACTAAGCAAACTCTTCAGCTCCTGCAGAAATGATTGAGCGATGATTGGCTCAACTTCATAATCAAATAGAAACAAAGTGTAACAGTAAACAGAAAAGGAAGCAAGAGGAAAGCACATAGTTGATGTACTGAATATGCAAATGTAATCAACCACAGCTGAAAATACTGATTTGAGCAGTTGTATTTATTACTCAGATGTATAATAACAATTTCTCATATATGACTTAACATGATGTGGAGCTGCACAAGATGAAGAGGAAAGAAACGAAACAAAGCATCAATCACACCGAACTGTATGAGTAACAAGCAATAAATACAATCAATCAAACTCATTTAAAGCTTTCTGTGGCCTCGAGTCTACGTGAAGACTAAACTGGAAAAACTGGACCTCACAAAGGTCCCATTTCAAGTTTAACAAGTTAGTAAAACTGTTGTTAATCTCTAACGGAAAAGTACTGGCAAAGCAAACATTGTGATGTCTGAACATGCGCACAATCAGTTAGCCTGTTTTGTAGATGGGGCAGAAACCAGGAGGTTACAGTCACCATTTCAAGGACTGAGTTTTAATGTAGCTTATTATGGTATCTAACATTTTATGAAGCCGCTGATGCCGAACATTTGCACTGATATTTTTACCACACTCTCAGCAATTATAACACCAGCAATAATAAAGCACTAGAAGATAACTCCCACTTACACCATTAGTGCTCTCTCCATCAAAGCTTCATGCCATAAAACAGATTCAAACAAATGTCAGGCAGCCTGAGCTGTATCTGTTTCTGCCTTTATTTTGCTAAAATGCTACTTTATAAATTATACATATTTGTGTGGCATGTGTCCTTCTCTGCACAAAGTGAGATCTTTTCTCCAGAGCCAGCAGGGAGCAAGAAGAGCAGCGAGGCCAGACTATGGAGGCTGTGAGGGTGGGTCTTCTTACAGCAGTGGTAGGGTACCTCATGAAATCTTAATGCAAAACCTAGGGAACAAATTAAGAAGAAGAAAGGTATCAGTTAAAGAGCCAGAAATCCTGAATAGTGCTTTCACTTTGCTAGATACTTCACTAGATAGATACTGATGTGGATCAGGTATATTTTATTATTGGAACAGGAAATCACTCCTACCTGGACCATTTTCACTTATATTCATATTAGAATAATTAATTTTAATTTAACATTTCACTTTGTGTGTATTGGTTTTATAACTTGTTTTTTATAGAGAGTTCACATTTTTTATCGCTTATATCTATATTTGTACATAATATCTGTAACAAGACTCTTCCGCCACAAGGTGTCTCTTTGAGCAATAACTAATGAATGAAAAATTTAAACCTGTAACAAGAATCAACTTTTAATAAGTTAATTTTTTACTTATTTGTTTGAATTGATTATAATTTGGGTGGAATGAAAGCAGTCCAGAAACATTTAAGTGCTTCTGAATACGATCCTGTAAAAAGAAAAGAAAAACGATTCCTTTAATAAGCTACCTTTTATTTTACCTTTCATTGTCAAAACCCGCTACCTTTATTTGTCCCTAATTCGTCTCGCTTTGTGGGTCACTAAAACTATTTTTTAAGCTAAAACTAATTAATAATCAATGAGAAACGTGACGAGCAGACAGCTGACCTGGGATCTGATTTCTACTCGCGTCCTCGCTCTGATTAATGTAGTTAAATCCGATCTCAGATCAGTGTTTTTCGCGCGCTTCCAACCGATGACCACGTGTCTCCCTCCGGCCTGCCAGCGGACCATGTGGAGAGGCAAGATGGCGGCGCGGTGGAAGGGGAAAGACGGGGAAGTAAATGCCGGCAACAGCGACTTTATGGCCACCAACACCCCCAACGAGGTACCGGTTTCCTCACTTTAGCTCATCGGTCATAAAATAGACCGCATAGTGGCGGGTTTCGGTGCATTAGTCGGGCGTGTATCCCCTGCTCTCGAGGCCACATGCGCGAATAACGACACGTGGCTGAAACGAGCTCGTAGTACTACTCAGGTAGTGATCAGGGAACGGATCGATCCGCCTGTCATTTGGACGGTTTGGATGCGGGAAACGCTAAATGACAAGCTAGTTAATGAGGCTGTTCGTGTCTAGTTTGATGTTTATTAGTTTAGACGTTTAAACGGAGGGAAGCCGGTGAGTTCCCGCGAAGGTACAAGATGTTCAGATAA